TATATATATATATACATATATACATATACACACACACACACACACACACACACACACACACACATACATATATATATATATATATATATATTATATATATATATATATATATAAATATGTGTGTGTGTGATTGTGTACGTTGTGTTTGGTGTATGTATGTATATATACAGAAAAACACCATGGTGTGTGTGAATTGAATAGATGTATCATACATCTATCATATAAATATAACTGTATGCACGATTTACATTCAAGCCAATACAGTTAAAAGGACACACCTACACTGCAAGGGGGGGGGGGCAGGACACTGTTGCCACGACTAGAACGCCAGTGAAGTAATCCACACACGCGTCCGCTATCATCTCTCGTCAGTATATTAGGTCACATAGAGTAATTTTTAACTTCAAACAGACAGCTGCAGGTTGTAAATTATCTATATTGATATTGTATAATTTATTAAGGCACTTAATTTCGCTTCACCTCACAACCGTGTTATAGGGAAAAGATTACTAGTATTACAAATGGACTTTTTACATGCCGTACAACTGCCCAAAAATGTGATTTACTCAATTACTTAAGATACGTATCATATATTGTGTATATATGCACACCCGCACACACGCGCGCGTACACACACACACACACACACACACATCTACACACACACACACACACACACACACACACACACACACACACACACACACACACACACACACACACACACACCTACACACACACACACACAAGTATTATTATCAACATTATCTGATTATTGTTATTCTCATTATCATTGTCTTTGTTATTGTCATTATCATTAATATCCTTATCGTTATAATTTTCATTATTATTATTAGCATATGTTATCATTATTATCATTATCAGCATTATCTTTATTATTATCATTGTCATTGTTTATATTATGATTATCATTACTATTACTATTATCATTATGATTATTATCATCATCGTTATTTTAACTATTATTATGATTATTACTAATATCATTATTATCACTGTTTTCATCATCATTATCATCCTTATCATTAGTTATCAGTAATTATTATCATTGTTATTACTATTATCATCATTATCATTATTATAATATTTATGTTTATTATTCTTATTTTCATTAATATCATTATTATTACCATTATTGTTATTCCTATCATCATCGCTATTGTTATTGCCAATATCATCATAACTATTATTATCTAGACTATTATCCTGATTTTCATTGTCATCATTATTGTTATCATTATCATTATAATTGGTATTGATTATTTATTATTGTTAGCATTATGATTATTATCATCATTATTATCACTATTATTAGTATCATCATCATTATCATTTTTATCATTGTCATTATCATCACCATTATTATTGTTATCATTGTCATTATCATCATCATCATTATTATCGTCATCATTGTTATTATTATACTTATTGTTTATATTATCACTGTCATTGCTATCATTTCTCTTATCATAGCAATGATCATTATTATTTTCCTAATTATCATCATTATTATGATAATATTTGTTGCTGTTATAATGATAATAATTATTAATATTATCACCAGTATTATTAGTATTAATATCATCATCCGCATTCTTATTAATACCATTGTTATCATTACTTTTATCATTGTTGTTACTCTTGTTATTGCTATGATTTTAATCATAATTATTATCATTACAACTAATAATATTGATAATAACAGTGATAACAAAAATAATAAGAACTACAATAATAATAATGATAATAATAACAATTACAGCTATGATGATGATTATCATAGTAAAAGCAATAATAACAATAAAAGTAATAATAGAGTGATAATAATAACAACAAATACCACTACCATAATTACTATTATTACAAAATTGTATGATACATGTTACATTAAACTCCAATATGGCATCTGTATCAATATGGCATCTACATTTTTTTTCATGTCCGTGAAGAAATATTCATCTCCAAAGATCCATTAGTCATTATATTTTTGTGCAAGTGTAAATTCATTGTATGGTGTTAAGGTGAACGGAATTAATTCAAGCATGGTGTTGACGGAGGGAAGAGAACCACTGTCATTTTTGTCTCGTTGTGTGTTCTTATTTCTCTGTAGTATTTACTGTAGAACAATATAACATTCATATTGTTAGCTTAGAACAGACAGCCTAATGGGAATGAATAAAACATATTCCCTGACTTATATTTTCCTTTTTTTGCTTATGCTCTGCGCACGCTCATTACATATGGCACTTGGAGCCATGTGAGTGACGTCGGAACTCGTCGCCTGGGCAGAAAAAGAAAGAAAAATAACGATTCGAGTTTGGTTCTCGTTGCTAAAGAGGCATCGTATGTATATATGTATATATAGATACAGATATATGAACTTTTTACTTTTTTTAACGCTCCGAGTTTGGTTTTCGCTACCAAAAAGGCGTCGTATATATATGTATAACAAAAAAAAATATATATATATATACACACA